TCTTTTTTTTTTTTTTGCTGTAACTCTGTAACTTTATTATTTATGAATAGATTGTCTACTAGTATATATAGGGCACCCCATCTTTAAAGACAAAACCGTAATGAAAATCAAACTTGATTTTAACTTGACTTATAAATGACATTGACCTTGAATGTGAACTTATTAAATGTTGACTGTTCTTTGCTTAACTTGGCTGTAACTTTGCTATAAATGTGCAGAAATTATTTATACTTGGACAAAGTTAACTATCAATAATCAGGCCCGTCGTCACGATTTTGTGTTGGTGCGGCCATTTTGATTGGTTTTTAGGTTGAATCTAGGGGATACGGTGGCATGCTCCCCGGAATTTTTTTTTATTCTAGGATTCTCTCAGGGGCGTTTTATATTTGGCACATTTTACAGCATGCCGCTAGTACATTTTATAGTAATATGTCAACGATTTTTTACAGATTTAAGTGCGTCGTAAGTTTTAAGGGCGCAAGACGGACGGACAGGTACATAAAAGATGAATACATGTAATTGATATTTGGCAAATGAAAAATAAAATATAACTGATGTAATTATACTTCTTTAGATGCATTTTATCTGATGATTATAAATAAACAAATAAAAGAAATATTACAGTACGTGGATTATTGTTTAGCATAAATCACATAATGGCATAAGCTTAAATAATAATCGATGACATGATGGAAGAATAATTACGAGTCAACAATAACCACTTTTAGTTTAGCAGTAACTTGTATTTTGTTAACAATAATCTTACACACCACAGAGTCTCATTTTATGTAAATTTTCCAAAAACTTATCGCCGTCGTTCTCTGGTGGTAATGAACTCATCGGCAATAACACGTTAGTTGAGTGAATCTGTCCTGTACTTATGAATATGTAACACAATTAGATTATTCAAGCGTACTTGAGACATTGTCGATCTCAGGTATGTCTTAATTCTTCTGAACGCCGAGAATGTCCTTTCACTGGTAGTATTAGTAGCAGGCATTACTAACAAAATCTTTAACAACACAATGACCTCAGAGGACAGTGCTGACTGTTCTGGCGCAAATTTCAAAATATCAGGTAAAATAACAGTACTATTTTCTGATTTTTCAAAATGTGAACGTAGCAGCTGAAGCTGCACATCTTAGATGTTTCTGTTAATATTGTTACCACAGAAATCACAAACAAAACCAAGTTCTCTAGTGTACTCGGTCTTCAAAGGTTGTGCGGCCTTTATAAGTAAATTCTCCACGTTTTGAAGTACGCGATATCCCGGTAGGTCAAATCTCTCTTAAACACTGGCGATGGCCGGAACACGTCCTGCACTGTAACGGGGTGGTAGCCAAAACCGTGTCCCATCTCGAATCGTGTGGGCGCCTTTCTCTTCCGCGGAACATTTGGATCGTTAACATCGACACGATAACTCACACTTTGAAGTTTAATCCATAAAGAATCAAAACTGTCGTCTGATCTCATGTCTATCAAACTATATAGAGTCCGCTTTGCTAGCCGCTGGCCCTCGGATGCTGACAATAAAACTTGTTGGGGAGATTTGCTGAGGTTGTCTGTCAATGCTAGGATGTCGTGTGCGAGCATAACACCGAAAAAGTACTTGTAACTTGACTTCGTAGGACCCCTACATATACCTGGTCAATTAATTGTGTCCAGTTGTGTTAGTAACGCATATACTCGGTATGTCAAAGGTCAAAATTGGATATCTTTTGTGTGCGGACAATTGTCAACTTTAAAGGATTTTGAAATTACTTGGCATAATAATTGTCTTGAGACGCAAAATTCATAGCGGAAACTCAAAGATAAAGGTCTTACTGAAAGATCATAGATCAAACTTGGACTTTTTCGTCTTGTGAAATATGACGGTCTTACGATACATAGGTAGAAGATTGGTCATACACGTGTCAATGAGACAGGTTCAATAAAATAGCTGAATATGGGTCGTCTCCGGTCAAAAATTAGGTCACATTGCCCAAATATGGAAAAACCTTTTTAACACACTAGAGGTCACATGTTTGACTCAGTTGTCATCAAACTTGGCCAGGATGCTTGTCTAAGACATTGCTTGGATGCGGTTGATGGGTCAGGGGAGCGATCCAGGGCCATTATGGCCCTCTTGTTAAACATCTATGTGTCATAAAACACAATTCTTATCCTAGCTTTACTTACAAATTTCAAGCAGATGCATATTCATTTAATGAAACAAAAACAAAAACGATCAAACTGGAAAACAGGAAAATAGATACAAAAACAAAATACCGTTATATGTAATTTTGCACATGGAAGCAGTTATTTTGAGAGTCACTTAATTTCTATATGCCGACAAATACCTTCTCTTCACTGAGCCGAAGAGTTCTCTAATATTTGTAAAAGATTCTCACTGGTATTGAAATAAAACAAAATTCGGCATCCTCAGTTATAAACAATTTTGCATGCTGGATAAGGACTGAGACAATCATTGAAAAATTACATTTGGGACTGAATTATTCGTCCGGTATTTAGAGAGTTCCGATTTTCTCAGCGTCCGGTTTTCTCAAATTTCACTGTATTTCTAATACATGCATGGTAGATTGCAAATATCACATTCAATAAAATACGACTGAACATCCAATGGTTAAATATATCATTTTAGATTTGTTTTCTTCTAATCTTGGATAAAGGTAATGTTCTCTAATATACGTGTTGGTAAACCGTTTCGATGTTGGAGAGAGAATAGAATGAGAAACTGTACGCATGTCGGTTCTACTTGCTTAACACTATTTCTCATAAGGAGTATTTTCTACATTAGGTACATTAGGTAGGAAAATAGCTTGGTTTGATGTAATGGTTATAGATGATGTGTGTCTGCAAATTTAGATATGGGTTTTTGAATGAATTTTCCATAGGAACAAGCAATGCACTTTGAATTGGAACAGTCTAGTACTTCAGATAATGAGCCAAGCCAAAGTATTTCAAGAAAATCAAACTTGATAAAAATGTTCTGTTTTTTTCAAAACATTCATAAAAGTTAGCATGAATCTGTGGTCAGTCATGCTACTTTAAACTCGTTACAACTGTAGCATCTTACTTAATAGTGTAGATTTTCTAAAGTTTCCTTTTCTGACATGGCAAGGTTCACATTCTAGCGGATATTTTCTTTAAGAATAAATGAAGTAAGTCTGACTATTGACTTTGCGAAAGAACAAACACCACCGGGCGAACTGGTCTATTATCTTGGTACCTTTCACCCGGTGTAGGCATAACTGAACGAGGCTAACTAAAAGAAGTACAGTGTAATGACGATGGCCACATGTACATTTATTACAGAAGATTTATTATGATCATTATTGCGAATTTCACAATCATCTTGAGTAAATAACAACGAAACCCCCTGCCAGCAGAGTCAGACATCTCGTTCCCTTTATTTCTTTTCTAAAAAACATGACATTTTAAACTTTTACAATGATTTGATTTTCCGACAGAGTTTAAAACAGCAAATTTGAAAAATAATTGTTTTATTTTGATTGTATGTTTAAAATAATAATCTTGTGAAAATTAAAGCCATTATCAACCCAAACTGAAAATACAAAGTCTGGATTGAATTGTTTTGTTAATTGCTTGTCAGTTATCATCACGTATAGTTTGTACTAGTATTGATTTTTACAGGATGCACTTCAGGTTTGACGAAGTAACAATGAGGACTTCATGCTTTTAGTGTATAATATTGACACTGGAATTAATGTCGATCGTTCTCATTGTTTCAGGCGTAAATGGTTGTTGGTTATTTAAATAAAAACAGAAGAAAGAGAAACACTTTTAAATAAATGTAAAGTTTCCATCAAAAATATCTCTTTGATGTAAAGAATTTCTGAAATAAGTTTAACACTTTGAAAATAGCTGTAAAATTTTAGATAATCTAAACTCGTACATATTTGCAATGCATCACCTTTTGGTGATTCTTAATTATAGGTATATAAGGGCGAAAGTGACGGGGGTCGATGATGACGGTGGTGATAATTATAGTAATTAAAAAACAAAGGCAATTTAAACATTAGTGTACCGTTTAATTGTATTTTTTTCTGTGAGACTGATATTATTTTAAATCAAATAAAACACACAAAATAAATTGAGAATAATCGTTTTAGAATTGCAACAGAAAAGTTACAATTAATTAAAAGCATGTTTCAAAGCCATGCGTAATTGTTTTTAAACAGGTTTTTTTTTGTTTTTCTATTCACGAAGGGAAGTATTGTCAATATTAACTTTCATATGTTTGTACACTTTTAACGTCCCCTTTGAAATCGTAATAATAATAATAATAATAATATAAAAAACAACAACAAAAAACAACAAACAAACACATATAACACATTGTATAATAACGAGGATGAGTGGCCATACATGCTAACTCATTACTTGTTGAAAGAGAAGGTAATTGGCCGTTGTCAAGGTCAAACTGCACTTCCTTGCAGCCCGATCATTGCAGTATAATGTTCATTGCCCTAATTTTTAATTTTGTATATTGAAAATTTAACTCTAAATGTACTGGTCTAAACATAAAGCAGAGCATTACGAAATTTGACCAAGTTAAGGGCTAATAGATATAACTGGCATATCTACTTGATCTTCGATGTAAAATGCCACGTACTATATCCATTAGCACAATCCTAAGAATGAATGTTTGCCTTATTTCGTGCATTTAGGCTCAATAACCTAGTTCAGTTTAGCGTGAGCATAATTTTTGTTTTGCACTGTATGTAGAACAATTACGTGGACTATAAAGTGTCGACACAATAAGCAAAGATTCACTCTTAGTTAATTTTAAAGTCTGAACAGTTTGAAATAAATCTACAGATTGTATTCCAATAAGAAACAACATGATTGTTGTTTCTCAATATAGAGAAATAATGTTTGATATATTGTACGTTTTGTTCGCCATTGGTGTACCAGAATATACGTGCGAGACAAAATGATTTGTGTATATTGGTGCAACAAGAGGACAATATTTGAATATGACACATGAGCCTAATATGTTTGCTTGTGCTAGAAAGTGCTTGGAGACTACCGCACAGCTTCAACGCTGTAAGGCTTCTAGTTTCAATTCCGATGAAAACGCTTGCAGGCTACTATTGACAATGAACAACACTTCAGCAGAAGATACCATACAGCCGCATCATAACACTTGGCAGACTTATAAAATGACGCAATGCATCGACGGATGGTTACGATGGAAAAGCGCCTGTTATAAAATATATACAGATGTAGTAAACTGGACTGTTGCTAAGCGACAGTGCAGAGACATTGGTGCGCATGTAACGGCTCTTGAAGATCCAGAAGAAGCAAAGTTCGTATGGTAGAAAATTGTGCTTGTACAAGCGACTGGAAATGTATTTCTCGGAGGACGTGACATTGAAGAAGAAACAATATGGCGATGGGAAGAGGGCGATGAAGATATTCAGAATGATAATCTTGTGCCGTTGGATGATTCAATTAATGACTGGAGGGAAGGTGAACCAAACAATATGGGAGCAGAAGATTGTCTCATTGTAGAGCGTGAGGGGATATGGAATGACGCTAAGTGCGACATTGAGCTACCTTTTATTTGTGAATATCATCTTTGAGCTGCATAACCGAGTAAGAATTATTTTCATTAAGGAATTCAGTGACGAACATACTACTAGTAACCCATTTAGATTTATGATGACTGATTTTAATCATATTTATATGAACACGGTGACTTGAAACCACCCGACCTGGAGGTCCCTTTTCCGGAAAGATTAAAATCTTGTAAAAGCAATTTCCCATATTTTATTTTTGAAATATATGTTGTGTGTAATAAATACAAATGTACGGTTGTATGTTTCATTGTAGTTAACTTACAGATGATTGGCTGCATTTATCAAAGTAGATTAAACGCGGTTTGACAGTACCGTCCATGAACAGGCTCAATCAAACCGAGCCTGCAACATTTTCAATTGTGCCGTGTTGGGCTTTCTTTAGGGATTCTTATTTCTCTCTATTTTATCGCCACATCAGCGTTTTTTGTGCCGTGTGGAGGCTGTAAAAAGTCGCCCCGTACATTCAATCAGGGATGTTATATTTCCAATCCTTAAAGATCGTTCAGCACGACATTATTGATGTGTTTGTGGTTTTTTCGTTCTTTCTATTTGGCATCTTTCTTGTTGGGTGATTCCAGTATTCCTCACTTGAATACTGTTGAATCACCCTTAAGATATGTGGCCTGCTTTTTAAATTTGTCCTTTTGACGTCGTATCTGTGATATGCAGGCTTCATAACCTCTAATCCCCTTTCAAAATTCCATTTTATTTAGTTCCGCCCATTGTTTTCTCGTTTAGGGCACACTCCTTTTTTTACTTGGGGACCATATGCCGCTTTTCATGGAATGGCACTAACGTGTCACATTGAAGGTTCCATGATAACCGCCATATGAACACATCTGCGGATGTTTCAAAATTCTAAATTTTACCAGTTCATGTTAAATGTTGAATTCTGCTTAAGCCGGTGCTAGGGGGCGTGGACGGTAGTTTGCACTTGACAGTACCGTCCATGAACAGGCTCAATCAAACCGAGCCTGCAACATTTTCAATTGTGCCGTGTTGGGCTTTCTTTAGGGATTCTTATTTCTCTCTATTCAATTGTGCACTAATTGTGCACCCCTGATAGCTGATTTATTTCTATACTGATATGAGAGGGATTTTATGCTAAGTCATTCCACTACATCACATCAGGAAATTATAAATGCATATAAGGCACTAAATAACTCTTCCCGCTACCTAGATGATATCCTAAACATGAATAATCCTAATTTCGATCACACGTTTTTTTTTTAATATATCCCAGTAAACTTAAATTGAATAAGACCAACTCTACAGACATTATTACATCTTTTTAAGATTTAAGTATCATTAACAATACTATAGTACCTAAAATCTATGATAAACGAGGTGATTTTGACTAATATTGTTAACTATCCCCATCTAGATGGAAATGTACCTCGTTATACATCATATGGGGTATATATTTCTCAATTAATTAGATTTGCTAGGGCGTTCACTTCTTAACAAGTTCCTAACTTCTTTAACAAAGCTATCGCTATCATAAATGTAGCAAATATTTTACTAAGTTTCATCACCGCAATTCAGATTTAGTTTTAAAATTCAATTGTAATTTAAAATTTTTTTACGAATAAGTATTAGCAAGCCTGATTTCTATGGAGATGTGGTTTACAAACTTCGAAGGATCATGGGTCGTAGTAATTTTTCTGCTGTTTCCACTAAAATAATCATTATCATCATGACCATTAATCGCCTCACGCTTCAACTAGCATAATCGCGATGAAACTTTAACTACCAGGTAACATGCGCAGCAATTGCGTTCCTCTTTACAATTAAATGTAGTTTATTTACATTTTTTTAAAAGCTGGTAAAAACAGGCAATGTCTCTAGTTGGTGGTAGTGTGTTTCATCAGCGCCGACTTGAATCCAAGTTGGTTGCTCAATAATTTTTATGGGTAGGCGATTCCAGAGGATGATGGTGGCCGGGAATAAGCTGTTCTGGTACACAGACTTCCTACACGTGAGCTGGCTGAGTTGTTGTGGATTGCCTCTTGATGTTCTTGCACTACATAGTGAGGGATCTGGTGTGACATCAACAAGGAAATGCTTGATCTTGTAGAGCATGATGACTCTTCCCATGTCCCGTGTCTTCTGAAAAATTATCCAGTGTAGTGAGTTTACCATCTCTGTGAAGCTGTTCTGGCATGAGAAGTCGTTCTTGACGAACTGTGCTGATCTTCTTTGCACCATCTTTAGTTGGTTGATATGGCTGTCAGCACCGGGTGACTATACAGAGGTGGCATACTCGACGCTTGGCCGTACGTAGGTGCTGTAGGTTTGGCCTCTGTTGGGCTTGACCGGATGTTTCGACACAGCACAGGTTGACTTTTTTTGGTTATGTTGTCAATATTGCATTTCCAAGTTAGATCTGGTGTGGTCTGGTATCTCAAAGATACTTTGCCTTGTTGATTACGTTGAGGGTTGTCTGGTGTATTTGATATGGGAAGATGATGGGGTTCCTCAGTCTTCGACTTCATCCTATCAAACGGTTCATTAAGAGATTATGACCCAATTATTTTAAGGCATACCGCATGCTCACTATTCAACCCTTTTACAGTTTGACACTACGCTTTCCTCTTTTGATAACATCTGACGGACTAAGTGGGAGACGTATGTAGTCTCTGTTTAATGAGGGTCCATCCTCCCGTTTAGGCACAAAAAGCAGCTTTCGCTGTCGAGTACGGACCCCGGACATGTCACCAGTCATGCCCTTAAAGAGTTAATTTAGAAAAACAAAGTGGTGATAACTTATCTCCATGCAATTTCCACGGAGTATTAGTCAAACATTTTGAGCCAAAAGTAGGTCATTGTACGGCGGCCAATAACAACCGAGCTGTAGAAAGCATGCGAACTTGCCGTCTTACACGTAGCAAGTAGCATTGCTTCTTCAATCATCTGCCGATGCCCTGTGTCTTCTCAACGACGCACACGTGCCGAAGGGAAGAGGGAAGAGAGAAGTGGAACACTCTATGATGGACAGTTTTAAAGCGCTTTGGGACTGAATTGTCTTTATGTTCGTATTCAGTCTTGCTTCGTCGGGCCCTTGTAGGTGATTTTCTTGTTGCTCTGACTACCTTAAAAGCATCGAGTACTTTGGTAATTGCCATTAGGCTGTACCTTTTGTACATATTTACACATTCATTTATGTGTTTTATTTATTTCGTCTGTAATCCTGACCATTGTTAGAATTTCACTTGATGGGGGTTCATTTTAATACACTGTCTTGTCATATAGGCACATATGGGGCTAAGTGAGATTTGGCGCGCCTTAAACCGGTTTAAACTCCCCAGTGACCGTTTCAAGGCGGTACCCTCCCCCCTCTTAGTTCCTTCACGTGTTTCACATGTCTGTATTGTTACTTGTTTAAAATGTTTGCATGTTTGATGTCTACCTTAAATTATCGTTAACGGTATTTCCTCTCTCTCCTCAAGTTCCACCCTGAGTTCTCCCATTTTGAAATCTGAAGTCAATCCCTTCAAAAACAAAAGTGATCAGAGCGAAAAAAATACGAAGTTTTTAAAGTAAAATTATATGTTGAAAGAGGAAATAACTCTTGAAAAATATGCTAGTTATGAACCTTGTCATGCATGATGTGAGTAATGACAAAGATCAATTATTTATCTTAAGTCTATAATAGATGCCATTTATAATAACAAAGATAATACTAAACTAGAACTGTGTCCAAAGGTGACGGGTGCCCCCAGTGACAACATATATATGGTATTTAGTGAAAAAATCAACAAAGGGCCATAATTCTGTTAAATTTGGTCGCAGCAAAAATTCCCTCCTTTACTTCCATTTACACATTAAGGTTGTTCATCCCTGGAAGTTTAAGCAAAATCTGCTATCCAGTTTAAGAGGAGTTACGTTCACAAAATTTCTACATAGTATTTAGTGAAAAAATCAACAAAGGGCCATAATTCTGTAAAATTTGGTCGCAGCGAAAATTCCTTCCTTTACTACCATCTACATATTTAGGTTGTTCATCCCTGGAAGTTTAAGCAAAATCTGCCATCCGGTTTAAGAGGAGTTGCGTTCACAAGATTTCGGGACGTGCGGACGGACAGATGGACGGACGGACAAGTGCAACGCTATATGCTCCCACTTTGTGGGGGCATAAAAATCAATTTACAAATGAATTCTTAGCGGAGATAATTCTGGGAATACAAGAGCTTGCGTTTTATAACTCCTATCCATATGACAAGAAGTTATAGTAAAAAATAACATTTGTTAACATAAATTCTATGTTCAAGAGGGAATAATTCTGGAAATAATCATGCTAGAGTTATGAACCTTGTCACATAAGATGTGGTTGATGATAAGGAATATGTATTTGAAGTTTGAGGTAGATACCTTAAAACTAAAGAAGTCATACTCAAAAGTACCATTTTTCGAGTAAAAAAATCAAAGTTCATGAGGAGATACTTCTTGCAATAATGGTGCTAGAGTTATGAATCTTGTCACATAAGATGTGGTTAATTATAAGAAACATATATTTGAACTATCAAGTTGATCGGTTAAAAAATAAAGAAATAACAGTAAAAAAATAATATTTTTTTAAGTTCAAGGGGAGATAAATCTAAAAATATTGGTGTTAGAGTTATGAACCTTGTCACATAAGATGTGGTTGATGATAAGGAACATATATTTGAAGTTTGAAGTTGAAACCTTACGAAATGGAAAAGTTATAGTGAAAAATATTTCACTGCATCTGAAATCTGGACGCTGGGGCGAGGACAGCTCTCCATACACTTCCTAAAGTCGAGCTTATAACTACTGGTGCAATTTCATCTTCATTTTACATGAATGATCAATACCAAGTCTAGTTGTGCATATCGTCAGCATTTGCTGGTTCAATAATTTTTGTCAAATATTACCCGATTGATGGATACCTCAAGTGCTTGCGCATTATTAATGGGTTTTGGTCTGTTAATGATTTTTGGGTCTCCTACTACTCAGTTACAACATGCTCCAAAAAAGCCACG